TTGTATGTTAGATAAAATATTATCGACTACACATAATATATTTTATATTGTTTAAAAGAAGTAGTTATGCGAATTGCAAAAGAAGTGACAACAATGCTATTCCGTCATTACGTATAATATGCTACGTGATAATTATTACGTGAAGCATCTTTCGAGGATACACGTGGGTTGAATTCAAGTTTGGTATCATGATGTATCGTTTACCAATTTTGTCATCGAACGGATATATCCCTGATGAAATTTATGGAGGAAGCCGGAAGTAGTTGGCGGACAATGAGCAGCGGTACCCCACTCGTGATATCTGCATTTGAATAATATTTCTAATTAGTCTCTCCTTTTCCTTCTCAAGTCGATGAACTCGACCAAAGAAAACGACCTTCGTTCATCATAAAATAAGTCTGTAAATCTCAAGTTCTGTCGTTTAAGTTCCACTGTAAGTGTAGGTTGTCTCAAGAAACGGAGCAGGAAGTATATTCTCCTGCAAAATTGTTCTCAAAATTGGATAGCCATCGTGAACACAATATTTGAATATATGAACATATTCAAAAAGTTGTTCATCTTTTATCTTAGAATTTTATGCATAATAATTTAATAAATAAAGAAAGACTAAATATAGTCAAAATTAGATTTTTGTACTTAATAATATTTATACTCACACATAAATTTTAAATACAATCTTCCAAGTATGTAAACTGCCTACCGATTACTATAAATCTTAAATATAATCATAAACTAAAGCTAAACTAGTAATGTCACAAATTAAATTGATTATCAATTTAATAATAATGTACTCAGAGAAAAAAGTCACATCAGTAATTATAAATTTGTAGTTAAATAACGCTTCAATTATATATTATAAAGTTCTTCTAAGAGCACTAAATAAATTATAAACTAAAAATAGTAATATTGACCATATAATAATATTGACAAACTACAAATGATTAATATCATAACATTATCTTGGTTCACTTAATTTATCTATTGTTCTTTTTAAAACTTTATATTACATTTTTTATAATACATAGTTACAAATTTTTTATGTATAGATAATTTCTAGAAATTTTAAAGTTACTGAATTTTGACAGAACTAAAAACTGTATTGTCGAGTTGTATCTTTCATTTACTTTTGTCTTCGAAGTTCGAATTCAATGTTACGCCTTTTATTGTATGCTGAGCACGCCGCATTTTCTTTTTCTGTGTCCTTCTGATAACAATGTCCGCGTATTGCTCGTGGCTGAGCGACTTTAGTGAAAAGATTTTAAATGTATTTTTTAAAGTTATGTCAATTAATGGTCAATTAATTAAGTGCTCTTAAAAAGAGTCTAAACTAGAAAAATGTAATTGTTATGTCTCATTTTTATGAAGTGTAAATAACTATTTAATTATGTAGTTGAGATGCTTTTTCACTATCAATTAATAATATATATACAAATATTATTGTCATAATTATATGTTTACAGTGTTGAGTACTAGATTAGTAGCTATTTTACTTTATAAAAATAATTACAAATATTATAATTGCTATAGTTATCATAATTATTTTTTTCCCAGTGTGCAAATAAATATCTTAAAAGTATTTAATCTGATTTCATTAACCTCATTACTTTTTGAATCTATCTCACTAATAACAAATTATTAAAATAGCTTATTCATGTTACACTTCCATCTTCTTCGAACACTGTAAGTCTTAAATGAGAATTCAATACTAAGAAATTACGCGTGAGAATAAGTACAACAAACAGGAAAAAAATATGCATTGCAGAATTTACTATTGGTAACAGTAAATAATGGTGATTTAGTACAAATCGACATATATCACAACGTATTATTAGATATCGTTGTTATTAGATATTGACAGAGAAATTATAATACACGTTTTCTTTAGAAATTCGTCATAATCTCATACTTTCAGATAGTTAGAAAAAATAAGCAATAAGTCTGGGAAACAAGTCTCTTTGCGAAATCCGACGGAAGTGATCACGAGAATGGAATAAAAAAAGTGCAAAAATTAAACGGTACACACACACACACACACACACACACAAAATAAATTTCAATTACACGAATCAACGCGTGAATTGGAGAATATTGTAGTCATTACGGTAATTAAAAATGCGCTTCATAATCCAATGCAGAAATTTCCTTTATTATAGAAAAAATTGATCACGACGTAAGGATCAAGATAATCTGGCCAGGATCCAGTTAGAAAGTATGTTTGCAGTGCTATCACAATTATGACGATGCGAGCGTTTCCTGGTAACGCAGGGTGACCGTTATCCGGCATACTGTGCGGGAAAATAAATAAATTTGTCCATAGCTATTTCATTACCTGAGCGCATAGAAAATCATGGCCTTGTGCTTAGAAATACAGTATTCTTTCACGCTTTATCAGAATTTATTATATACTGCAGAATATCAGACTACAAAATAATCTATTATTCGACGATCTTTCTGTTTCTTAAACAGATAATTAAGCATACCACAAGCACAAATTTTTCAGAAATTATGTAAACCCCTTCGGAACTCATGGTAGGTCTATTAGAGATTATTCATTCAAAAAGCTTTTTGTCAAAAGCTCTTTAAAAAAATATTTGTTAAATTTTCTTTACATTACATATGCAAATTTGGATTACCCTTATTAAAAAATACATTCAGTATTTATTCTTAAAGCGAAATACATTTAGTATTTATTCTTTTCATATGAATATATTTTATGTTGGTTCTTTGAAATTTATCCTTTTAATTAATAATAAACCTTAACTACCTTTTCAATATGATATAATACCTGGTTTTCTTTCTTCAATACTTTGTACTTTTTTTC